GAGCGCCGCCGCACTTCCCAAGCGGCGCACTGTAGCAGTGCGCCACCGGGCCGGCCCCAAGTCTTGATGCTTAACATTTCTCAAATTGTTATTCCACTAAACAACAGCTACATGATCTTTGCTCAAAAAGTCTGAAAAATGTTAAAATGACTGCCACACTTCTTGGAGCCTTTATTTCTTATTTTATTTTTGGTGGCTGGCCAGTACAGAGATATGAACCCTTGACCTTGGTGTTATCAGCAATGCTCTAACCAAGTAACTAACCGGCCAGCCTCCCTTTAATGTGACTTTTTTTCATAGAACACATATCAAAGCCTGCAATAGTAAATTCTAGGAATACCACTTTGGAAAACATTGGCCCTACTATACTAATCGTTTCTCAAACTCTACAAGTTTTTCTCCTAAGAAACACCAAAAATATTAATAAGATGTGTCATCTTTGAGGGCAGTTAGATGATAATACATTATCAATCTTTCTACCTCCAGGGCCTGGTAATTCCCATAATACTCAATAAATACTAACTTAATCTAGGACTTTTAAAGAAGCAAAATGAAATAAAAATAATTTTAAAGTAACAAAAAACTCAAATCCAAAATATTATCTTTTCAATGTTATAAAAGAAGCAAAATACCTATGTTTTGCTGAATTTTCAATACTATTGTTTTAAATGGTTGTTCATCATCTGTGCTGTCAAATGAAGCTTCGATATTCATAGAGGACTTTACACAAGCTGCAAGAGAATAATAAGAAATCCTACATAAAACGACAATTACCATTTTAAACTAAGTTTTAAAGAACATTATAAAGAACATACATATAATAGACATACATTTTCTTTCCATTTGTCTTTTTTATAACATAATGAATTTGCTCATTACCAAAATTATAGTGAATTAAATCTCATGGAATATATGTCAAATTTACACAGTTTTCAAAACACTTAATATAGCTTTATCAATGACCTAAACCAGAGGGCCACATACTAGTACAGATAAATAGATATCAAAAATCAAACCAGATAGTAACAGGGTAAATTTCAGTCTTACTTGAGAATAATTTATATCATTCTTGGTGGTTTTAGCAATTAATAATTTCAAATATTAGATATTAATAATAAAACCAGGGATCAGCAAACTGCAGCCCAAGGGCCAAATCTGTTTTTGTACAGCTCTCAAGCTAAGAATGGATTTTTACANACTATCTGGCCTTATACAGAAAAAGTTTGCTGACTCGATCTAATCTGACATTTGAAATATACAATCAAAATATGATCAGAAATTTGACCTTAAAACAACTCTGAATGTTAGTAAGCAAGGCAAGCACATCACCCCATTTTACAGATGGAAAACAAAACTTAGGAGGTTAAGTGCAAAACTTGGGAGGGTCATGAACAGTTGACTAAGGATTCAAACACAGGTTCTCATTCTACTTCATTATGCTGACAGCAATTTATGAAGGTTGGACTATCTGAATTTCTTTAACACTTTTTAGAAGTGTTTGATAACATCCTTAGAAGTCACATAGGCCAGTGACTTTCGATTTTTTCCAGTGCTGAAGAATCCTATGAAAACAAATAAAATCTAACAGAAAATCTCAGTTGGTAAAATAGATGAAAGTAGTACTACTCAGGCTGAAGCAGGGATGGAGGGCTCCTGGAGCCAGACCAGTTCCTTTCTTCCCCCTGCCCCCACTCCCCCAGAGGTGGTAGTGGAGAGCTGCTCTGTAGCAACTCTAGGGAACTACTTCTGATTAATCCCTTTATTTACAAAAAGAAAAGAGAACCACAGAGTGAGAGATAGTAAATACTGTTTAAATTTAAAGTAAAATAGCCTATTGGTTGAATTTAAAATGTCCTTATAGACATCTCTATATCCCAATAAACTAGGACAGGCTCACAAGGTACGTATTACACATAAACTAACCACAGGAACAGATATCTGTGGTACCAAAATAGATGAAAGAAAACAATTACCTATTATTCATTAATTGCTCATGCAGAAAAGTTTAGTGTAATTTTTAGAAATAATCCTTGTAACTATCTCATTACAATCAAGGGCAACACTACTGGTTTTTTCGTCTTCAACCATATAACTAAAGTACTTTAAAAACAGACATAAAACCCTCCTCTTTTTTTCT